CATCTCAAAGTCAAAATGGCGCATTTGCCTCTAGGTGAGCGGTCGTCGCCCTCGAGCTATTTAGACGACTTACTGAAGCAGCTCGTGATGAATTTCACTAACAAATGGCTCTGTAAATAGACATAGCAAATTCTATGCAGTGGCATTATTCCAACACGACCGTACATTCCAAACGCAAGCCGAACTGGACTGCTTCTTGGAAAAGTACATGTGCAGTAGCTCCCGCATCCGTAGCTTTTCCTTCATTGCCACAGAAATGTTGTCCCCAGATATAGATCTGAACTTGCAGAAATGGGCTGATAAAGTATTGTGCAACAGAGTGTGATGGAGTGCCCAGTGCTTTGTTGGAACAGCAGCATGGCTACAATATCATTTTGTAAAGATCTTTAATATTGCCGCCATATTCCTGCTGCACTCATAAGCTGACCGATTTTTCCAGAGGCACAAGTAGAATTAATTAGCTCATACAAAACGTATGAACTCACTTACCCAAATTGTGGACCATGTGAACAGCCCGACTTCGAGAAGTTACGGTACGAAAAGTTTACGTACAAAATTTGGACTTGACTTGAAGTACGAGTTGGTGTGTCCAAAAAAGTCAAACTATCACATTATGAAACATCAAAGCTAAATTTTACAGAATATATTGTCTACCTCCAAACTTCTATGCAATCAATATTACAGCACTGTGCCTAGTTGTATCATCACCAAAGGAAACGCAGTTTAGAAAAAAGCAGACACAGAGCAGGTGAACACATCCTCCCAATCAACCCATGAGCAGCACAGCATGATAACTGCATGTAATCATTCATGCAGTTAACACACCAGCCAGAGTGAAGTGTATGAACAGTCATTTCTGAAGTGTCAGCTGCCATAGTGGTCAGACAAACAGCTGCAAGTGCTATGCTCGATAAAATGGGGACACATGCATCTCATATCTGTCCTTACATACCCTTATCAGTGCTTACCCCATTCACACTACATATGCACATGACCTTACCCGATAATGAAGGTATCTGTCAATGACAATGAAACAGGATTCGCTGCTTATGCAGTCACGCGTTTGTCTTGTCCCATGTAAAACAGGATCCTGTGAGCGACTTCTTTGGAGGTGGTGCTCTTTCGACGTTGCCAACATCAGTGCTCACCCGTTCATGCTAAATAGGCATATGACCTCGCCAATAAGGAAGGTATCAGTCACAAGACTGCGCAACAGCCTTCAAGAATTATGCAGCCACACATTTGTCTAGACCCAGGCACTCCAGATCATATGAGCTAGTCCAGAAGGGGGTACTCTTTCTATTTGCAACATTAGGCACGCACAGCTACCTTCACAGGCGGCTAGCCATCACCTCTAAATCTAGTGTGTAACTGTACCTGTGCGCATGCAGACGGCAAAATACTTTTTTTTTTTTCTGCAGACAGACTTGTCACGCATGCTAAGGCTTAAGAAAAAAAAAAGAACTGTGTCAACATAAAGAATACGACAAAGCTGCCCTCAGACTCAATAAAGTAATGATAAAAATACCCTTCCAGCAAATACTCACACTGCAGTTCACTTTACTGTTTTCTGCTAATGTTAATCACTAACAGTTTGACATTTGGGAATCAATACAGGAAAAAAGGAGCGAAATGCACTGTTATGAAGAGTACTTTTCCAAATCCGAAACACTTCGCACCCAACCTTGAATGTACTCTATAATTGCCAGAGACCTCCAGTATGAAATGCCACGTGCTTATTCCATAATTACTAGGCAGTTGATTGCTTTTTTTCTTTTTAATAATATACACACCACTTTTCATATGCACTTTTCAAGTGCCGCCATCTTCGAATGATAACATTGCAATTTTGCACCCATATCAAAAAAGGAACGATGAACTCGCAACGATGCTACGATGAACTCGCAAGCACGAGAGCACTTCTTTCGGTAGATTCAAGTTCAATGACCATGATCATTTCATATCACGTAAGAAAACCGGCAAACAATCGCCGATCTGCCCAGAGTGGCGGAGCTCATGACTCAAAAATACAATCATGCATAAGCTTACCCCGAAGGACAAATATTTAGCACGTAAATGCATACTGGATGTATGCCCTAAGACTGTTGTGTATGAATTGAAACAGTGTCTCGTACAACCTGTCATGTATCCAGCGGTCACAGTTCGTCGTGTTGATGTAGCAAAGGCTCAGCTAGAAGTATCAGATCCAAAAACAAATAACCGGTCATACAAACAAGTCGAAAAGATGTGCTCATACAGCTATGCAAAAAAGAGACTGTGCATAGACCTAACTTAGATGGTATTATGGTGTCGTGCAACTTTTTGACAGTGCAGAATAATTAAAGATGAGCACAAGTTCGAAGAGAGACAAGCTGCAGTGTTTCTTCTAACTCATGGTCTGATGAACAGTAGACAACCATGAGACTCCTGTCGTAAATCAACACAAACGGATAACTACCCAACAACGTGAACATGCGCAGTTGCTCCACATACTCAGCGTGTTTAACTGACAACATGGCATACGGTAACCTTCAGTCTATTTTGTGAGCGTTACGCTGAACTACCATGCAGCTCGCTTGATTTATGTTCAGTCAAAGATGATAATTGCTGTCAATACTGGCATTTGTTCAGATTTCAAACTACAAAAGAAAGATGCATAGCTTTTTCAGGCATTTCGTTTATGCCCACAAAAACTGCACTTTTGTAAGTAAAGCTGCTAGTAACCATCAACACTATCGCAAGGTGTAAATAAATTGCTCGGCATGAAAATGTTAATGGTCAAACCGAATCGCACAAAGATAGAAGCCTCGACAGCAACCAGTAGGTTTTAAAAAAACCGCTTCACAAATGCAAAAGCAGCCTTGCCCCGATCTGCATACCACGCAACACTAGAAACAATGGGAACACATTAGCAGTCGTAACGTAACCGACACCGAAAGGTTTGAAATGATGGCCCTTTATTATTCTTCGACCCAAATACCCCGTACTTGGCCACCGAAAACGTAGTGTGAGAAATGCACAAACATGGTGGGCAACACATAATGAATCTCCACACGTCGAAGTGTGCTTCGACTGATGTGGCTTTTTTTTCCCGCGCGCAATTACGCCCAGGCAATTGCACACACGCATCGCATAGACCGAGTAACAAGAGGAGAGAGAAGTAACATTAATCGGCATATCCTGCGCGGTGCGACATTAAACGAAATTGGGAACGCGGCTTTGGCGACACCCGCAGCTACCTCGAAGAGTAGGTCGTCCGCAGTGCAGGGGACCTTGATGCATATCACATGCATCGAATATATTGCGCTCGCGTGCGCGGATCGCCGTCGTACGGCGCTCCCGCGGTTGTTTGCAAACAGAACAGCACAGCATCGGCCGTGCGTGCTCGCCAGTTTGGCTGTGCTCCCATTAGTAACATAGCAGAGGAGTACTTTTACACACACTATGTCAAAGGAGAAATCGAGCGATGACCCTCGATTCGTGTCTTCTTCCTCCCAAGAAGGCGCTTTCTTTCTTTCTTTCTTTTTGGCGCGATCGAGGACAGCGTCGAAATCGACGCTAGGAGGCTCAGCGAACACTCCGTTAATACGACACGCTAGGATTCGAAACTGTCGCTTCAAACGAGTGCGAAGCAGAAGTACGAAATGTGTCAGCGGTTTCGTCTGCTGTTTGGCGGTTTCGTCTGCTTTTGCTTTTCTCGTTTTTTTTTGTTCATACTTATGTGCTTATACCTAGAAGCGCTCCCGACTGGCTAGCTAAACGGCACAACGAAACGCCACGTTTATTCTTCGGTTGTCAAGGCCACTCACACGATTCGTACGTTCCCCGAATGATCGAGTCCAGTTGCGAAAGAACATCAGTGTCGTCTGCTACTGTTTCGCGGGCCGAGTCGGCCGCGCCGCAGTGCCACGCAGCACCCCCCTCATCATACCGGGCTCGTCAATTCGTGTCAACCTTCCACGGGCCGTCGCTGAAGCGTGTAAAAAGAAAATAGAAATAACGCAGGCGGCGAAGAAGCTGCGGGCGTCTTACCGTTCTTTTTTACACCCCACGCGCGTTCACAGTTGATCGCCCGAGAAATGCGGTCGAGGTATGCGCCGATTCCCAACCATGCGAGGCCGACAGAGCTCATCGCTTTTAGCAGCGCCCGCTGTTACGCTAGGCCTAATGGATACACCTGTTGCTCGACAGGCTCTCCCAATCGAAGCATGCGGCGCGCACGAGAGAGAGGTGCCTAGAGAAAAAAAAAAGAAACGATGTAGCAAAAGAGGTTCGTTTCGCTTTCGAAAATTTCCCGCTACTATGGGGTACAACTCCCCAGCACGGCGCGTCCTAAGTACGTAACCTGTTTGGAAAAGACAACGGTGTTCGCGATCAACTAATTTTATTTCGCCATATAATACTAGTAAACACGAACAGACTGCCGAGAAACACACAGGTAAACCGACAGACAGAGGACAACCATGTTCCAGTGTCGACTTCGTGCGTGTATGGTGGAAGTATTTATCGCCAGTATTAAAAGAAGCACTCGGTACCACGTCGTTGAGCTAAATGCGTTACCCCAAGTTCTTTGCTTGCGCCAACACACTACACAGCGATGCGATAACATTTTTTTTTTTTTTTCGTGAGCCAGGCGCACGTACAAATATAGGGGGGTCACCGAAGCTACGCCGTGGCATCGGAGGGAGGCTAGGAGGAAAAAACGAACCGGCGGGCAACGCGAAAAAAAATGAAGACACACGCAAAAGAAAGGTTTTCCCCCCACCACTCCGCATAGCCGCAGGCGGTAGCATCGGAACGCAGCAAGCGGCTTTGGCTAGCAACGCTGGCTCGCCCGTGTATGGGGCAGTCGGTCGCGGCTATCAACCACAACGCTGCATAAAGACGCGTTGTTCAATAAAATCATCGCCGTTTCTCGTTCGTGAAACAGGAGCAGGCAAAAACACGATCGTTAACAGACGCGACTCGCGAGAAAGTTACGAGAAGATGCCTCGCCTTACCCTGTTACTTTCGAGCGCTTCGGCCGAGTGGGCATCCTTGGTGCGGAAGCAGTTTTGACACTTGGACTTGTTGAATATGTTGGGCGCGAACTTGCGACACTCCGTGGTCGACGACTTGAGCGAGGTATTCATCGCTGTCGGCAGGTGCCGGCTGAAGTCGCGACGGGAAAAGGCGCCTCGCAGCAACTAGGTGCCCGCCGCCACCCGCATATCTGCCACAGGCGTACGTCGATTCGTGGTGGTCTAGTCGTGCGCGACACGAGAAGCATTCGTACGGCACGCGGGAAACATGAGATGCTTAGGTCAGGTTGCCCGTAGCGGAGGCCTCGGTGGTCATGCTAACGATTCCTACCGATCCGGCGAAAAAGCTCCGTGCCGGTGTTGACGATCTCTTACGGGGGTGGGGAATCACCTTCGTCACAAACACACACACACACACACACGACCAAAAAAACTTCGGCACGTCACCACCGTCTCCGAGTCGCTGTCAGCGTCTTCGCAAACGCACGGGGATGGATGCGATTTCACGTTGGAACAGGAATCACATCGGCGGATGGCACTCAACGAACGCGCACCAGCACACACGGAATATTCACCGATCCAGAGGCAGCGCGCAAAACATGGAGTGGTATCTCCAGCGCCGACGGCGTTTTCGGAAACCTTTTTCGTCGATGGGAGGGGGGGATTGGCTTTTCGTGGCGTGCACACCGCTGTTCTGCTGAAGTTCTCCTCCGAGACGGCGGGGTTGCTGCCTCTCTTCTTGAGTTTCTTTTTAACGCAGACTCTCCGAAATAAACGCGGCCGTCCCCCCCAAAAATCGGGCCACTTCCCAGTGTGGAGAGGTTGCGCGGGTACGAAGAGCTAGCGCTCCCACTGCTGTTGCCTCCAGCATGAAAAACGCGAATGGCATAGAAGAAAGGAGGAAGAGGGAGAGCGGAGAGGAGCGCACAAGTGCGCAACGCTAATAAGAAATAAAAAAACCGAGCGTCGAGAAGCAAAACATCAAACGCGAACCGCCTCAAAGACGAAAAAATGTCGACGTTTGAGGAAGAGTGGGCAACGGGCTGCTACGCTTGGAATGCTGGGAAGGAGGAAACTAGAGAGGCTGGTAGTTCGCCTGGCAGCTAGAGAGAAGGAGAAAGAGCGCACGCGCCACTCGACTCTGCTATTTATCTAGCTAAAAACACGCAAAACAAGACGGCATCGCAAACGACTGCAGCGCCACTACACTAAGAGACGTTTACATAACGTTGACGCTATTTCGACGTTTTAAAACTTTTTATGTTTAAAACAACATGTTTGAGCAAATTAAAAAACAGACGCGTTTTGTTTGTAAAATTAACAAGTGATAAAAAATTATTACTGACATTACAATTTATTAAAGCTCTTGTTTCAGTTTCGGTTCTGGTTTTGATATTAAAGCATGTTCATCATTGACGTTAGCTAATCTCAGCATTTCCCATCCGTCGTGAAGTAACGCAAAGTCCAGTTAAAACCTAAATAAGTGCTATTGTTTACTTTCCTGGACATATTAATTACTATGATTTTAATTTTTAGGTACTCCACAACATGGGAAGGTCAATGCATGCTTCTATCGTTGTGCTCTAAGGTTGCATCCATCATCCGTGTTTGCTATACTTTGTGGTTTCGTCATGCTCTAAGGTTGACCTTCCGACGATATGCACAAAGGTGAATATATATATAATATTCAAAGGGAGTACAACAAATTTACGCACTGATAGCCTCTGCAGCTGATTGGTTGGTCCTAATAAAGTCGTTCTGTTGTGCCTTTTAGTTGAGTGCACACTACTCTTGTGCATCATTCTTGTAAACTGCTTAGCTGTAAATTTTATTAGTGCATGAAATTGTTGTATTCTTTGAATAGGTTCCTGGTGTGGCCCATTGCAAACATTGTGCCTGAATAGTGATTTTCTGTTATTACCATTTATATTTCGGACCACGCCTCAAGAACTGTCAAGATAAGCGACACAGTACACATCAAAGGCAGTAGTGTAACATGACTGTTGATGATCTTAAACGCACCGCGAATATTTAATTGAAGTATTCTTGGTGCTTTGTCGGAAACACGAAAAGGCAGGTGCTCATCAAACAATTTATGGCCAAGAATTTAGGTCTATCAACAGCTTAAATTAAGCGTGCCCACCGAGAGGGTAATTAAAAAGGGCCATGTTAATTCTATCTGAGTTCGCCAAGTTTGAAAGATAAAACAACATCCTCACAAACGGTGATATGAGGTCGTGTTGAAACAATTCTTGTGATAATGTAATTTGAATTGCTTCATTTTGTGTTTATTTATATCCACTTCTGCGATAACCCCACATTGGTCTGCAGTATTTGAAAACAATATAAACTTTAAAATTTTTTTTCAAGCTAAACAACGTGAAACAGCGTTTATAGATCGGGGAACACTTCCCGCCATGTGCTCGGCAAATTAGGAACTCGGAAGTTTAGCTAGAGGAAATTAAAAAAAAAACACAACAGACAGATATAAAGTACTCTTCTATAAACTTGTGCTTCACAATATTCGAAAAGAAAATGATAGGTGTTACCTAAAGCCTCAAGAAGAGAGCAGTGTGGGTCAGGGAACGAACCGGCGTTGGGGATATCGTAGTTGAAATCAAGAAGAAGAAATTGACATGGTCCGGGCACGTAACGCATAGGCAAGATAACCGCAGGTCATTAAGGGTAACTGACTGTATTCCCAGTGAAGGCGGCCCCGCCGCGGTAGTCTAGTGGCTAAGGTACTCGGCTGCTGACCCGCAGGTCGCGGGTTCAAATCCCGGCTGCGGCGGCTGCATTTCCGTTGGAGGCAGAAATGTTGTAGGCCCGTGTGCTCAGATTTGGGTGCACGTTAAAGAACCCCAGGTGGTCGAAATTTCCGGAGCCCTCCACTACGGCGTCTCTCATAATCATATGGTGGTTTTGGGACGTTGAACCCCACATATCCCAGTGAAGGCGGGTGGATGAGGGGGAGACAGAAACTCAGGTGGGCATATGAGATAACGAAGTTTGCGGGAACAAAGTGGCAGCAGCAAGCACAGGACCGAGTTGACTGGCGGAACATGGGACAGGCCTTTGCCCTTCAGTGGACGTAGTCAGGCAGATGATCACGATGGTGGTGATGATGATGACGACGATGGTGATGATGATGACAATGACGACGACGACGACGATACTATCTGCACTATACTATGCTATAATATGCTTCCTTGCTTTCTTTATTGTTTTTTAAACCGGCGTCTAACTCTATTACTCTATGTCTCTATGTGGCGCGTATGTGCCCCAGAAATTCGGCAAACGCCACTCACGACACAGGTGTACCATAGATTAAGCTGAGAACACACGAGTGGTGAGCACCGATTAGGGGCAGAACGTTGCAGTTTTTCCCAGTGCTAACCATCTATACCGAATGTCTAGGCAGAGATAGAGTGCGTGCCGGATTGGTATGGTGATCACTTTCTACTACCACGATCGAGCTCGACCCTAAAGCCTCTTTTATCAGACATCTATATGGAACAGAGTGTTGTCATTAGTGTAATGGTTGGAATTCTATAGTGGTCAGAGCAGCATAGAAAAATCGCGAAAGGTGCTCAAGTCCCAACAATACTTGAACTAATGCTTTCAGGTCCAGGCCACTGCAATAGCGAGTCAAGACCGTCTAACGTGTTACAAGGGCCAAGACACTGTGCCATGACTCTTCAAAGAATAAACGTTTATGTCTCCCTCATTCGCCTGCAAGAGGCAAGAGAGAACGAGGCGATAAGTTATTGTTTGATCCTGGAGCCTTCGCAACAAAGTACGAATCTGTACATGAACAGAATGTTAACTGACGTTTGCATTGCGAAGATGGCCTTTTCAATATCTCAGATAAGGTCATTTCTGAAAGGGGTCGACCCCTATCGCTCGTGAAACGTACCGACGCCGATCTTCTGTTCGAAAGAAGTCTGGACGCCGCGTTCCTGAATAATGTTCCAACATCGAAACTGTTATAGTCGGCTCAAGAAGTCCGTGGTGCCCGTAAAACTATTATCAACATAAACGGAATATGTGCGACAGAAATTGGGCAAATGCCACTATTCACCGCTGGTCAATTGCAAATTAATCGAAGGCAACAGTTCATCCAACAAATGACGGCGAAGTGACGGTGGTGAAACTACAAGATGGCCTTTTCAACAACACATACTATAGTATAGTATGTATGTATAGTATGTATGTATGTATGTATGTATGTATGTATGTATGTATGTATGTATGTATGTATGTATGTATGTATGTATGTATGTATGTATGTATAGTATGTATGTATGTATGTATAGTATGTATGTATAGTATGTATAGTATGTACAACACACTATAGGGAAAGGCATAAGTGGCTGCAAGGAGACCTCGAAGGGATACAAGGCTTATGCCAACATGGATCTTCAACGAATATTAGCGCGACGAAAACGGGGACGGGAACGAAATGACAAACTTACAGCACTGTGGTTTGTCTTTTATACATCTTCGTTTCCGTTTTTGTGGCGCTAATGTTCGTTCAAGACGGAGACACACACACTCACCCAATCGTCCGTTCTGAAGCCGATATCGACGTGCTTGTAGCTCTTATGAGGGGTTCGAACACTCTGTTTCAGTGCGTGTATCTTTTTATGGAGTGTGTACATCGGTGGCGTGTCTGTGACCGTCTCTCTGTGCTGAGAATCAGACTGGAAGCAGCCATGGTAAAGCATATCAACAACCAAGATTCAACGAGGTTATACACTTCAGATTCGTCCAGTTTTGCTTCAAGCCTTGCGCGACTTATTTATTGCAAGATTCGCCTTTTTTTCCTGCATGTTTATATTTAGAGACAGGCTGACCCCATGGCAGTGGCACACCTAACACCAGTGCCCCCCCCCCCTCCCCGCCCCGATTTTGTTTATTTTGTCGTGGCATATAGAGCAAGATATGGAATTTGGTCGACCACATCTAAAAGGTGTTCCCCCTCCCCACCCCCCACCCTCTGGTAAAATTTTTTGCCTACGCTCCGGCCGCATGGGGTAATGGCATGTCCATATCTGGGACATATCTGGGACTAAACGGTATACACAGATGTACGGGTGCTAAATCGGTCAAATTCAGTGCGTTATTGGATACCGGGAACGCAACCATTGGTTCGCAGTTATCTGAGGCTCAAGCTAGGCTTGGATGCACTGACTATATTAAGTAGATCAAAGAGAGAAAGGGAGGTCAAGAAAAGTCGATGGGCACTTTCGACAGCCTTCCACTCCATGATACACACGTCTATGGCGTCTATAGTATACGCACCGCAGGCACTTCGCTTCCGCGTCGACTTCGAAAAGAAAATTAAGAATAAAACGCTTTTCTACGAGCAGCGTCGAAGGGAGAATACATAGAAACTGAGTAGTTTCTTTTTCGCGCCCACTCGGCGAGTTTCTTTTCGTCAAGGAGGAAGAAGAAAGCTATCGACTTCACACAGGTACGTGCGCCCTAGTGCGTCTCGCTTGACTGAACAGTGCCACAGCTCGCGTGGCAGTTCCGTACTTTTTTTCGGGATATAATGTGTACACCTATATATGCAACATTGCGCGTCGTTTCGTTCTGTTGAGATCCCCCCCCCCCCCACCTTCAATGCTCAGACGGGCCGGGCTGCCCGTTTGGGACGTTATTATACACTGTCTTGTGCTTCGAGAAGCTGCGTAGCATGAGCAGCGTCGCGGTATGGAAGCAATTTGGTCCCGCGACTGCCTTCTTCTACAGCGTTCGGGGTTGACCCGCTACTATTCCCTCCCCCTCGATTCTTATGCCCACCGCTCCGTCGTACACCTTCTTTAATGGCGTTCGCTGAACGATTTCCTCGGAACCCCCGAAGGTGCCGA